TCCCAGAATTAAAAAGCAATAATGAAGAGGCCTCCCTGAAACCAGTAATGGTCTTTTGATTAATAATTATAAATAGGAAAAATGAAAGCAGAAAGCAAGAGAACAATGAATGATCAAGAAAGTTATTGTCACTAAAGTCTGAATATCAAAAGCTACTTCCTAGCCAGGTAGATGTACTATTTAAAACCAGCCTGAATAAATAACTTTTAAAAATGTGTTCCATTTATGTAAGGATCAAAAGAATCCCATAAGCCTACTCTAAAAAGGAATGTTCACATCTAGTATTTTAATTCCCAGAATACTATTAATATCTACTCCTGCCACCTAATTTTATTTCAAAATTTTAAGCCTTAAATTCCAAGAAAGTCTTACCCAGGGACCAATACATATAAAAAGAGAAAACACCTCTGAGCAAGGAATGTTTCCAATCACCCTCTAAAATTAAAAAGAGAGAAAGAGAGAGATTAAGTGCCTGCACAAACACAGCCACAGCCCATGGATGGTGCTTGTGCCGAGCTAAGCCCTCTGCAATTTAACACAGACATCAGTTTATTGGCTAGCTGTGTTTCATTTTTATATTCCTGAATTTTGTTGTGCCAGGAGTGGGGCCAACAAAAGATAAAGCAAAGCAAAACTGTAACAATTGCCTCTGTAATTTCATCTGCGGGCTCCTTTCATGAGTAACTGCATGCCCAATTTTGATCTCCAAGTAACGTCACAGTCATAAAACCAAACTAATTCCTACACACACACACACGCACACACACACACACACACCTCCTCCACTACCTTGATAAAATGCAGAATTAGTTCATTACTGATCCTAATAGATATCATTACCTAAGTCATTTTCACCGAGGGGCTGCCAATCAGCAGGTCCAAAGAAAGATGCAGAGAAAGCTCTAAGTGTGACAGCCACTTTCCCCCTTTCAGTCCCTTTCTTTGAAAAATCGGTCTGCTCCAAAAGAAAGGGAAGAAAACATCCACTGGCTCTCTGAGGAAAGGTTTCCCAAGGCCTGTGATTTGCTGACATGTGGGGAGTTATGATGTTGTGAGAACAGCCCCGATGACAGCAATACTATCCCACACTGCTCCTAGGATGTCCAGAGCAACCCGAGGGGTCATGATAAACTTCATATGTCAGGGCAGAGGGCCCCACCTGACCCACAGAGCCAGGCACATGAAAGAAACAATAAAAACTTGATTTAACTGTGGTATCCCTTCCAGAAGGCTTAATTATCTATTGTATTACCACATTCCCGTTATTCAGCAGTCTCTTCTGTCTCAGACTGAAGTCCAACTGCAGTATTTGTTTGGAACAAATTCAGGGAAAACTCCAAACTAACCAGATCACAGAGGACTCAGTTAAGTCGGGAACAACAGTTACATAAATAGAAGTCCCATAGGCTGGAAAATATTTTGGTTGTTCGCTAACTTTCAGAAACGTTGAAGACAGTTGAAGTCACTTTTAAAACATCTACACCTATGTATCCTCATGTTTTATATGACATGCTATAGCTCCATCAATTGTGTAAATGTTGTCATCCCACCAAACTAGCAATTTTTCCACGTTGACATGTCATAAACAACAAAGATAGCCTTCAGTTCTTAATTTCTATACATTAATAAATCAGTGTTCTACACTCTCACCTTAAATGCTTGGTTTTTTGGAGTAATTATTCCTACTGTCATCACAGTATATAAGACAATAATAAAACATCCTGAAGTCTTCTGATGAACAGTCGTGTGTGCAAGACGCCACCGTCAAGTCTATTCTTTTAATTAGAAAAACCTGGTGTTTGACATTGTGAAGGTGTGATAACTAGTTGAGACAATGAAATTTTAACTTAACTGGTTGCCTAACACCGTAGGCAGACAGCTAAGTCAAATGCAAAACTGCCCAACAGCCAGAAATGCACATACAGATGGCTAAGATAAATTTGATAAACTTGCTTTGCTAATATTATGCGTATGATTGTCACTGAAAACTGTGCATTCCCTATATATTCTTTCATTTAAATGTGTAGAAATAGCATTTGAATTTCATGAATTTTTGAAACCAAGGCACCGCCTGCATATTTGTTTTTTATTAAGTGCTCCGTAATTTACCATCAACATTGTATTGCCATTTAAGTCGCACCTCATTTCCTTCCCATTTTCTTTGTTTGGGCCTCACATTTTTCAGAGATCCACCAAGGGAAAAAAAAAAAAAAAGCAAAGCTATTTTTACAAAAGTATTTTTTAAAGAGGAAAATGCTCTTTGTAATTGCTTCAGGACTATTGTCTAAAATTGAGTTGTATTTCCTCTGGAGGATAAATATCTGGTCATTCCAGAGAGCTTCTGTGCAATACCTAGTCCTGCACGCTAAATGGAAAAAGACTGAGAAATACTTGATGGCAAGGACAACACAACAGAAAAACTGCTGAGCTGTAAGCCTCCTGAAGGCAGGCTGAGACGTTTTCTTATTGTCCTCTCCTCGTCTAGCCTAATGTCTTGTGTATATGAGCTCCATAAAAGCTTACTGAATACACAAGTTTGTCCTGAGCCTAATTTTTTTTTTACACACACACAAACAAAAATCCCTCTCCTTTTTCTCCTGCAGGCACCACCATGCAGACTAAGACCATTAAGATTATCAAATATATGAAAACCCTATTTTATTGGAAGAAGAATATGATTGGGATGGGGGATAGAGAAAAAAGGAATTTTTAAAAGGAATAAATTAATCTAACAAGCAATTGATGGGCTAAGTACAGACCAGTACTGCTATCGTGCCATGAGCTAAAGAGGACAAGAAACTCGATTTTCTAAATCTGTGGTTCCAAAAATATTTTAAAATTAAAATCCTTCACTGAAACGTCAGCACCTCTCAGAACAATGTAGCTCACATCCCTCTGTAAAGTCTTCTAGGTTCTGGCTAACAGCTGGCAAGTTGATCCCTGCAATTTTCCCTTTGCAGAAATAGCTTTGTGAGAAGAGAACTGACCTTCCTGGGCTAATCAGCCCAAACCGCGCCAAACCTGGAAGGCTGAAATGGAAGGGACATTGTTGTGTTAAGTACTTTACAACAACTGTTTCTTCTCCTCTTGACACAGCCTGACTTCCTTAAAGAAGATTTGACTGGCCAGACAGCTGTGTTGACCCTTAAGCCTTCTTTGATTCGTGATTTTTTTTTTTCAACAAACAGAATAGAAATTCACAACCCAAATCCTTTCCTAAGCTCCAATACTTGTGAATTTGCTAGTGTTATGCCTGAAGGATGTGGACATTTCAGTAATCTATAAGCAGAAAGTTAAAGATTGAGTCTACACAATACCAAAACCTTTCCATGAAAAGCGAGAGAGAAAAAAGCGAGCAATCAGCCAGAAGCTTTATTCAAAGGTGATACTTGAAGTTGTGTCGGCAAAATCCGTTTAACTACCTAAAAATTACACTTTTCACTCAGACACCATGTCAATAAACAGACAACCAAGAATAGAGACAGGCATATCTTCTTTCAAAAATGTTAACCATAATATCATTTCATAAGTGGTCATAAGGAGTTTTCACTTCTTTATATATTTGCATATTGTCAAACTCATCCAAAGTGAAGCACTTTTTTTTAGTTCTGAAAAAAAAGCCAAGCTATTGTCTTTTCAAAACGACACACACACACAAAAGAAAATGCCTAGTACTCTCTCCACATGGGGGTAAAATTCAATCATTTTAGGGCAAAAAAGCAGAGCGGCAGAGATAATTTTTTGGAGGTCACCGGGTCTACTCACTTTGTCAATTTTTTAAACTTGCATAGCCCCAGACAACAGGAAAAGAAAATACTTCTGTTTATTCTCAGCGTTTTCTGTTATACTGAGACTTCTCCCGCTCAGCCCCTTTCATCGTCTGTTTTTAATAACATGATAGAACTGCGTTTCACGCATGCTAACCCTCCTTTGATTATCCTCATGTAATGCTGTCCCTTTCATTCACCAGTGACAAATGCAGAATTCCGCGCCTGCACGTGCGCGTCCACGCAGTCAACCTACACCAGTACGAAAGCACAAAAACAGAGACCTCCGGATCAGCCACTCTTCTTCAGTCATTTCCAAAGCCCTGCGAAGCCAATACCCTTATTAATTAAACATTTCGCAAGGAAAGCCCGTTCCCTCACCTTACATCTCCTAAGCTCCTCCAGGCACGCCGGGAGAGAATAAGGAAGTTCTTCTACCTCCCACTTCCTGGCCTCATCCAGGCTTTGGTGTTATAAAGCTCTAGGTTCGAAACATTCACTTTCTTAAATACCTGCCTCCCAGTTCTCCTGTAAACATCCCAGAACGTTTGTGTGGACAGGAGGGAACGGAACCTGCTCCGTGGCAGAAAAGCATATCCACACCTGAATAGGGTGGAGGCACAGGTTGAAGGAGAAGGCTTCAGTTCAGGCCCCAACTACTGTCCTAAAAGCCCCTGCGTCAGAGGGTTCTGGAGAAAAGGGTAAAGGCTACAGTCAAAGAGCGAACGGGCTGTGCGCTGAGCTCCGAGTGGCAGCAGCGCCATTTCCGAGCCCAAACTGTCCGGACTCCAGCGAACACACCCGAGCTGAAAACGCTCACAGGACACAGGGGACAGAAGCTGCGGGGTCAGTACAGTCTCGCCGCACCGCACAAGAGCGAGGCTGGCGCGGACACCTGGGTAAGAAGGGGTGGGAACCAGCAAGGAGACTTGGGGTCACTGGCAACCAGCATGGCACCCCGGTAAAAGGGAGAGACCAGCTTGGAGACAGCAAGCTTGAGGGATTCCAAGGCTAACAAAGAGTGGCCTCTGGGAATAGCCGAGTCAGAGGAAGGGGCCTGGGAGGACTAGAAACTCTGCGAGAGGACCGTGGAGGAGACATCGCAGTCACTTCTGCGGGACTCAGAACACTGTTGCTCGCACCCGCACGGATCTCTTCCCTACCACCTTCCTGGGAAGGGTAATGTACAGGACTGGACTGAAGGGAAGTTCTGCGTCGCTGGGCGTGCCTCTTGGGCCTTCCAGAAGAGGACTAGGGTAAGGGAGGACAAAGTCCTGGACGCACGCTGATGCCGGTGCGTGGGGAGCGCTGCGGGGACACGGCCACTTACTTCTCGTAGTCATATTTGCAGTAGAGCTTCTTGTCCCGGTAGAAGCAGGTGGTCTCCAGGGGCTCTTTGCAGGAGGCGCACTGCACGCACTGCTCATGCCAGAAGCTGTCGTTGAGCCGCAGCAGAAACCTGTCCAAGATGACCCGCTGACAGCCCTCGCAGACAGACTTGGGGCTCACCGCTCTGCCTGTAGCCACAACAGACGTTCGCGGGTGAGCAGCCTGGGCGGGTGGACCCTGCCAAACCTGGCCGGGACCCGCTCCTAATCCCTTCACCCCACGGATTTCCCCAGCGGCTCCCAACCAAGCTGAGATTCGGAAAAAATCAAACCAAGTGGCTGGTCTAATAAACGAGGACTAGGTGAGAAGGTTTAATTCCTAGCGGGGGAGGGCACAGAAATCAATAATTGGCCTTTAATTATCAAACATACTCACGTGTGCTCGCAAACGTGCGCACATCCTCTAAGATTAAATTATATACAAATTTGTGCTATCAGGTTTATTACGTCGTAATTAAATCACTATGCCAGTCTCTACTGACTGTTTTTAAAACAGAATACATAAGAACAATTTGGATTTTTTTCTTTGTTAAAACGCAGTTCTGTTCCATTTTTTGAGGGGAAACTTAAAATTTTCTCTTTTCTTCCTAAAAAGTCCGGGGGGTACAGAAAAATACCGTCTCGCTCCCAAGCAAACCTAACATTATTCAAAACGATGATCCCCAAACTGCTGCGTCTTGACTGGGGTGCAAATTGCACATGGGTTTTTCATAACTATGAAGTGTCAAAATAGAGACAGGGAAAAAATATAGGGGAAGAAGCAGGCCGCGGAGTGTCCGGGCCGGCATACCCAATACCAAGCACGTTCGGCAGCCGGGTATGGGGGCGAAACGGGCCTCAAAGCGACTCTGCAAAGGCAGGGAATTCACTCTTTCCTACCCCTTGGGCTTTCTGTGTTTTATTCCTTTAGACTGTGGGGGGCGGAGAGGTGATTCAGGTGGTGACGCTTGGCCACCTTGATTGGCACTTTTCACAGCTATTCAAAGACGGCCTTGTCATTCCAGTACTAACACTCTTGCGCTCCCCATTTCCAGCCTACACTCTTCTCACGCTCCCCTTTCGAGAGGCCGGGCCACCGGCTCCAGAACTGGGCCAGCCGCTTTGGGGAGCGGACGAGGAAGGTTAGGAGAAGAAGCGAGACAGGTCTCAATTTAACAATTCTATTTTCTTTCGGCAGGGTCTCAGCGTCCTGGGCTACGACCCGGGAGTTGAGAGCGAACGTGGGCCGAGCGGAGGGCACTAGCGAAACGCGACACCCACTATAAACATAAATCCGCACGCACTGCCCGCCAGGGTACTGCGTGCTCTGGCCTCTGCTCTCCTCCCAGGCTGGGCCAGTACGAAAGTTCCCGAAAGGGGGAGTTCGAAGAGGGGCGCTCAGTGCACATGATTTCGTTTCATCTGGGGTGTTGGGGGTGGGGAGATTCCTCTCTCGATACGTTTCCCCAGCAGAACTGTCTAGTCCTCCACATTTATCCCGCTCTAGCGGTTCCAAGCGAAAGCGGCAAGAGGTTTAAATGACAGAACGAAAAATCCCTCCTGCTATAAAAATTAAAACACGGGATTCCCACACTTGAAAAGCTCCAAGGACGGAGTGGGTGGGAGAGCCGTAACCAGAATCTCTGGCTTCAGCTCTGCAAGACTCGTGTGTGGACACTCTTCGGAGGTCTCTGACTCGCTGCTCCTCCGCGGTCGCTGCAAAGGAGTTGTAGGGTTGGGCTGGAGGGACCCACTGGACCAGGCATCTAGCTCCAGTTAATTAACGCCGAGGCTAGGGCCCCGCCGCGCGGTCTAATCCCCGCGCTGCGCTGCCCACCGGCCCGGAAAAGTCTCTCAGCTGTGCCCAAGGCTGAAATTGGGGCTCGAGTTGGTGGGGGAGAGAAGCCGCCTCGAACTTGGACGCTCCGGGCCTTGAGTCTCCGATGCTATAGCCTCTAGGCCACAAGAAGAGAGCGGCATTTATCAGACGTCGATTAGCTCCGAGATTAAAAATCCAGCCCTGGGTATTTTTAATCACTTACCACTCAGACGCCTGCGAACTAGCTCGCCCGCCCCTCGCGACTTTGGGGAATTCGGTGCCCGGTGCGTGAGGCCTGGAGCGGCTTGCTGGATTTATTTGGGTAGGGACGACCCACAAGGACTGATAGATAGCGACCGGGCTCAACTGAGTGCTGGAAAGAGGGGCGCTAGTTCCCCTATAGCGCACCGGGTCCCAGAGAGCCGGGCTGCAGAGCTCAGGGCCAAGCGGAAAGAGAGTGCGCCTGGGACGCACAGCCTGAACACTCACCCAGCAGCGAGGAGAAGGAGGCCGAGGTGTCGATCGCGCTTTGGAAGTTCTCCTCCATCTTTAGGCCGTCCAGCATGTTCGGGCCGGGCCGGGAGGACCTGTAGAGGAGAAACGATGAGTCTGACGTCCGTGTCCGCTGGGACTTGGCGCCCGCAGCCAAAGCACTCCTGGGAGGGAGTGTCCAGGGCGACCAGAATCAGTCTGGAGGGTAGAGTTCAGCCAAGAGAATGTAGGGTGGGAGGAGAGATCAGTCACAGCGAACTGCTCTGACTGATCTGATTTCACTTGAAGTCAACCGGTTTTGTACTTAGGCCTCCGCCCCCCAACTGCGTTTCTCCTCCTGTCCCCTCCACCCCCACCTTCATCCCTAGCCCCAGGTTTTCCATCCAGAGTCCGACTCCGCCCCAACCTATACAAAGGTGGGCCCTTGGGACGTCTCTGCAGGAACCCAGCTACTGGGATATGATGGGCATGTAAAAGAGTGGGTGCCCTCCCTCGCGCGACCCGGTCCAGGCACGCGGGACGATGGGGCTTGCAATCCCGCGTCTTGGCCGCCCCATTGCGGCCCTCACCTGCCCGCGTCGAGGAGAGGCACTGTAAGGGATCCAGGGAGCGTCCCGCCCGCTTCTAGACTCTGGGCGCTGCGCTCTGCCGGGGGGCGCGCGGGAGCCAGTGTGCGGGGCGCGCAGGGAGGTCCTCCCGCCGGTCGGCCAGAGCCGGGAATGTCTGCAGAAGCAAAGAAGTCGCCTCGGGGAGGAGCCCGGGCTGGCCCGGCTCACTCTTGGATGCATTTCAAATCAACTTTCAGAAACACGCCCGCCCGAGCCGCAGTCTAGGCACCGGCAGCCTTCCTTACCTGGTAGACGAGCTCTCTCCCAGGGGCTGGAGCAGAGAGAAGTTGCGGAGCGCTGCGGGAAGCTCGGCCCGGGAAGGCGTCGCCCCCGAGACTGCAGCCGGAGGAGCCGCCCTCAGCTCCGGAGCGCCGGGGAGGGATCCGGAGCGAATGCCGGCCCCTGGCTCTGCTCCTCGGCGCGCCCGGGCCGGGCAGGGACTCGGTGGCTAGCGGCCGGCCTTCCCGGGACGTCCTGCCAGCCCGCGTCTCTCCTCAGCAGGAGGAGAGGGCCGGTGGCTCCTCCGCGGCTAGGAGGGAAGGCAGAGGCCCAGGGTCCTGGGTGCGAGTCGGCCCTGCTTCGCCGGGGCGGATCCTGCAGCTTCTGACAGGGGCTGCGACGCTGCGCGCGCGGCGGAGGAGAGGGGGTGGGGTGCGCTGGGCGGGGGGCTGGCAGCGCGTCCCGTGGCGGGGCCGTGGTGCTCCCTTTCCCAGCCGGGCTTCGAGGCCACTTCATGGCCGCGGCCCTCTGCGCCCCTCTGCGCCCCTCCGCCTCTGGGAGGTCTGGGACACGCTAAGTTTCCTTCCCTCCAGGTGCAACTCTTACCTCGGGGCTCTCTGGCCCGGCCCGCCCCCAACACCCCTCACCCCGACTGGGCCTTTGCGGAGATGTCTGCGCCTCCTACACCGGGTACGGACACGGTGATTCCCCCACAGCTCTCCTACTGCTGCAAGTGATAACAGCGCTGCAATCCTTACCCAGACCCGGGGAAGCGCTGAGAAGCCGTTTACACCAGTGGTTGTGGGCCCAGCAGCTCCGAGCTCCTCAAACCCCTCATCACCCCAGGGCTCGCGCAATCTCCCAACTTCCTTTAAGCTCAAACCATATTCACTGATGGGGTGTACAGAGGCCATGGGGCCCACGGCCTAATGTCTCCCATGCTCCTGGGAGACACTAGGTGGGATCTGCCCCCAGATGCTGAACCTGCAATGGCACTGAACAGGAAATCAGGTAAAGGGACATTGTTAGCAGAACGAAGTATCTGGGGTGGGGGGGGGAGGAATGTGAATTCTCTGCACCCCCTAACTTTAATGTACAATGACAGATCTTTAGCCCCTCCAGGGGCAGGAATACGGTGGTATCCATCTGTATATCCCAGGGGATAAGCAAGTTGCATGGCCCCAAGTGGATGCTCAATAAATACATCACAGTGCTGGCTAGCGTTGATCATTTATTTTGTGCCAGCTTTGGTTACATAGTCAAGTCATTTAATCTTTACAACAACCCCCATGAAGTGAAGACAACTGTTATCCCAATCTTACGAGGAAAATGGAAGGGAATTCACGAAATCCAAGACCCATCATCTGAATACCCTGGGAAGGTTCAATTCAGTGTGATTCTCTGGGGCACCTTCAGTTCCTAAACCGAACTGAACTGAGATGAAATTGGCAGGCCATTTGACATGGTGAACTCGAACAGGAGATGCCACATAGCTAGGGTTTTCTATTACCTCCTCCAAAGCCACTTCTTGATTTTTAAAGAAAAAGTGCTGGCAGCAACTTGCTCTAATGTGCTTAGGAGCAGCGACCCCACTCCCCATTCTAAGTGCTTTCTGCCAACAGACACAGCCAAGCACTGAATATGACTCCAAAGAAACAAGAAGAAATGGCAAAGAGGCTAATATGTTCTATTTGAATGCTGCTTTACACTTAGGGCATTTTCACATACATGATTTTGCTTGATCTTTACAGCAAACCTGTGAGGAAGGAAGAACAAATAGTTTTATCCATTGTTTCAGATGAATCTGTGGGGCTTAGCACGGCTGGGAGATTTCCCTGATGTTACCCAGATGGCTAGTGGCATGTCTCCTAACACCTGACCTCTGTCCTTTCTGTCACCCCAGGTAGAGCAGGGTGTAAAAAAAAAAAATACAAACTACAAGTATTCTTAGGATAATATGTGAAATAGAAGTTAAGCAAGAAAAAAATGGAGTAGGGCAGATACAACCACAGGAACATTTTTATTTAAATACCCAGCAGAGTTTTGATTTCACTAAAGGTCTTGAATATATGAAATACATTTTAACTAGTGGTAAGACTGTTCTTTTTAGTGAATATCCTTAAAGAGGATATATTCTATTTGACCTAAAACCCAAATCTTTCAAACAATTCTTACATCCACCCACAAGGCAGCTTGATTAGTGTAGATCACCCAGGTTTTGGTGAGAATGTCTCCCCAGCCATTGGGCACTTCAGGATGGGGACGGTGCCTCAAAATCACATCATAAGTCATATCACTTTCAATGCAGAGCCAGACACATATAACTGATTAACAAATACCATTTACTTGGCTGAGGAATGAGTGGAGCTCTCACTATAGTCAGGAGGCACTGCAGTGAAGGGTCAGGAATCAAAGGACCTCAGTCCCATTCCCAGCTTTGCCACTGAATTGGTCTGGCCCATCAGTTCACCTCTTTAGATGTTAATACCTTTCTGGAATGAAGGAGCTACATTATGTGGTTGGTCAGGCCCTCACAGTCTAAAGCCTGTGAAATCAGACTGGCCTTGGCCAGCGGGGTGGGCAATTGAACCAACAGATCCTTATGGGATGCTGGGCAATGGCTGCGTAGGTATAGTCCTGGCTGATGTGTTTAAGTGATGTTTCTAAACCAATAAAGATACAACTTATTTATGTGGAGCTTTCTCTGTTGTGACTTATTTATCCTCTTTCAATGAAGTGGGAGTCATGCATCTTACCCCTACCTTAGGACTGTTTCAGTTTGGCCTTAGCCAACTCAGTAACACGGATGGGCAGGTAGATCACAGGGGGATCATTCTGACCCCTCTATGAAAGATCCTCTTGACCATGCCTCATGGTTTTCCTCATGGTTTAAACTCAAACACTTTACCTTTTAAATTAAAGAGAATGCCACAGAGCCACTGCCCAGAAGCCAGTTATAAAGAATCAGCCATACTCTCTCTTTTATCAAAAGGAAGTACTCTGAGAATTCATGGGCATGAGGTGAATAGGCTTCAGAGGGGACCCAAAAGATTACACGTTTAGAGTTGGAAATGATTCTAAAGCTCGTGTGGTCCAACCATTTAGTTTGTAATGGGCCAAAATTCATTTCCCTAAAGTTTCCATCCTCTGTTCCATTGATCCCTTAGGGCTAGTCATTCAGGAAGTCAAATCCTGCCTCTAAAACCTTCAAGTGAGGACAGAGCTGGCCTCACTCTCCTGCCCACTCTTTGAATCTGATCCAGTTTTTCTGTCTGTCATAAATTATGGTACCCAGGCCTACTGTGACTTTCCAGTGAGAGGTGTTCAGGATGTTTCTCAAGCAATATAACACCCATTAACATGGCCTGATTTTGTGTGAGCATTTTCAATGGCTGCCATTGACTCACACTGTATGTGTCATTAACAAAACCTCCTCAGTCCTTCTCCACATGGTCTGCTGACAGGGTCCATCTCTGCCATATTGCATTTGTAAAACTGATGTTTCGACCCGCGTGTGAAATCCATCCCTGCTAAGAGTTAGGTGTTATAAATGTCAAAAATCTTGCAACTTCAAGCAGATCCCAAGAGATCCAGCAACTATATCTTAAGCCTAATGCTTTGTTTTGAGATGGAAATATGCAGTCCTTACCAAATTGGTCTGGAAGCGCTATCATTGAAGGAAGATAGGCCAGGACCAATGAATGGGTATATCTGTGGGTCCCAGGGGTTTTGTAGGACCTTGTAACTTGGGGACACTTCTTCAAGTAGGAGGTTTCCCTGATCCTGTTCCAATTCTGTCATCTGTCTTCAGTCCAATAGCAATCTGTAGAAGATGGATGTGAGACCTGCAGAACATCTGTGCAGCTGCCCTTCTATGGCAGAAAACAGAGAAGCAAAAATATCAGATGCCTGAGTCTTTGTGGCTGAGATTTGGGGAAAGGAGTGAGGATGGAGGAGTTAGAGACCAATTGGTGGGAGGGAAGAAGTAAGGGAGGAGGACGGACAGCCTGCTACAGAGTGGAGATGGCAAGAACACATTTTTTTACTTTCCTTTTCTTGCTCTCATTTCTGTGTTTTATTAAGAGAAACACAAAGAGAAAATTGTGTTATTTGTTTAAAAAATGTCAAAGTGCATTTCAAGATAGAGGAAAAGAAGCAGGAACATTACTGCCTGGAATGGCAATATCCTACCGAGGGCAGCCAAAGACTGGCATGGTTGCAGGGACACACTTGAACTACACACTACCCTTACCTGGGTTATTTTCATGTGAATCTCCCAGTGCTGTGTTGTTATTCAGATCTCTCAACAGAGCTAGAGGACCAGGTGCCTCTCACTTTCTAGGGTGAAAGGGACATCCCAAACCAGCTGCTGGAATAGGAGGAAAGTCCGACAATGTAAATGTGGGTGTTACTCCCCAGCCATAAAGCAG